CCCCCCCCCCAATAAAAGAAATCCACTCCAACTGTTATAAACCTTTGTTAAAACATGTCAATCACCAAAAAGCCATTTTGATTCTAACATTACATATTGTTTTTTCTGGTAGCAAATGAAAGTAATTTTGCAGACTAGTTCCTTTTGATTGAAATTACATGTAATAATTAACCTTACAAGGTTCAGTTGAATAAATTTCATTGATAGTGTGGGGCATTTTGGCACTGAATTAATTATTTCCAAAATTTAGTTATTACTTTGAGAATAATTACATTTTTAAATGCAAATACATTTAACACAAACATTTGAGCTTTTTATAACAACCAAGCACATTTTAATTTCTTCTGAAATCCCCATGTAATTTAACAAAATATCACTAACATCACAATCAATAATGAGTTCAAGATGCAACACACTGCATCAAGACTCTAAATTCTTACAGCAATGATTATTACTGTGATCAACCGCATTTCTCACTTAAGAAAAAAGCATTCAGAATAGTCAACAAAGACAATGCATGGACGTATACCTATTGTAGTCCTAACATTTCATCCCCAATTACTGTATGTCTACAACCTCAATTAAATTTGTATTCATTTCCAGACCCAACTGTAAAATTTTTTATTGTTTACCCGATTAAGAATAAAAAAACAACACAACATGAAGTGATGCAAATTTATACCTATGTATAAATAAAAGGGAATGTGCATATGTCTGTTGCACATAGTCGCAAAAACTACTCGCCAATTACTCTGAAATATTCATACTTTGTTATTATTAGTATCAGAAGTGTTTAAAGAGTAGTTTGAGCAAAATCACATGTGTGGAAGCATTGTTGATTAATGATCTTAAGATTACTCAAGCACTCCAGAACAAATACTCTATGCAACTTGCCACACCAAGTATCAAGCTGTTGCTGCACGTTTTCCCCTTGCGATTGCGAATATCTACTGGAAGTTACCTAAGACAAGTAAATCAAATTTCTCCAAAACCGTGTCATAGCGCATACCCAAACTTAAGGTGGAGCATTTTAACAATAGGACACTTGACAAACATATCCGAATCAGGGCAAAGAACAAACCCCAATTCATGAGAGTCATTTGTCTATTAGAATTTTGAAAGGCTTAGTGTAAAATGCGATTGAAAATCACATTTTGATTTGAGACACATGTGAAATGTAATACATTACAACAGCAAAGCATTTCCTGATCCACTAAAGGCACATAAAACATTCCTATTAAATATTTAATAATAATTGTCAAAAAAGAAAAAAAAAGGGCACCAGTGTTACCTTATTAAAATTTTGTATTTTAGACAGCCACAAACTACATGATAAAAATAAACTTTCAATAGAAGCTAATGTGGACTGAAATTTAACATAGAAAGAAAGAACAGTGCAGGAGACAAAGACACCCTAACCTAATTTACGACTGTCAGTTATGAAAACGAAAAATCAAACAAGATATTAATATTTTGACTAGCAGCTACTGTTAACTTACAGATGCAATAAAAGGGAGAGAATTTGATGAACGATTGGCTGGGTCATACTTATTTAACAGCTGGAACTCAGTTCGTCTGAGTGGTAAGAGTGATAGAAGAATGCATTTCACAGAACAATGGTTTTTGGGCAATGGGAAACGGTTTGTCAAAACAATCATCTTTCTGAACGTAGCACATATACTACCCTATTTATATATACTGCTAGGGTCTCAAAACCCACTGAACCATTAACAAATAAACATGAGAGAGAACGAAAAAACAGATGGACAGACCTGAGTTACGAACAACCTATAAGAAGTACTGGAAACACAGGAGTGCAAATTGCCATCGGGACAAACTAAATGAAATTATGAAAATGAGCATAAAAACTTTTTCAATACTTCTTTCTTAAAAATATTTCTTCACAGTGTTAAAAAAAATATGAGAAAGCGAAATAATATAATATAATATTAAATAATTAATTATTTTATTATAATTAACTAATTATCAATAATATTGAAATAATATAATATTGATAAAAATAAAGTTGATATTCGATCAATTGAAAAAGACTTAAATGAAATCATTTGGTCACAAATGGATCCATTAACGATAGATGAAGCTTGCAAAATTTTTTTACTCCCAAAATGATTTGATTTTTGATAAACATATACCCAAATGTATAATTTCTAATAATGAGAGTAAATAAATGGTCAAAGATAAAAGTCTCAAATACCTATTAATTGATAAAATGAAAGCTCATTTTATTTCTAAAAAGAACCCTAACTCTGACGATTCGAAAATCAAGTTATCAAGAGTACGTGTGGAACTGAGAAGAAACATTGATAATCATCAAACTGAATCGATTGAGAAATCTATTGACAAAGATCCAAAAATATTTTGGAACTTCATTGATGACAGAAAATCTGAAAAAAAAGAAGAGATGATACCATAATATCTTTAAATAAACACAATGATTACAAATCGTCCCCAACCGCTTCCAACTGAAAAAACTTGGGGATTTTTTAATTAAAAAGACAAACTTGGGAAAATAAATTTTTAAATCCAAAAAAATTTGAAAAAACGAAAATTTTTTTTTTTAAAAACCTTCTTTTTTAACATTATTCCCCCTTTGTCCCCCCCCCCAAAAAATCCAAAATTTGGATGTATTGTTTCTTCCCCCAAGTTCTTGGTTCCCCCAACCAAAATGCTAAATAATCCCTTTTAAAAGCAAAAAGAAAAATAGAAAACGAGTTTTCCACACATTTTTTATTTCTTCCTTCTTATGTAAGCTTTTCAAAAATTAAAAAAAACCTAAATCAGAGGTTTTTATTAATCATGACTACAGTGGAAATATCTTAGCTTATTTTTGCCAAAATACCAACTTTGTTCCCATCCTCGAGAAATAGTACCACGTTGTTTTATTTTATTGAATTAAATTATTGACTGGGAAAAAATTAAAGTACATCACTTCGAAATATGTATCAATTGTATGACATCCATACACAATGCGAAGATCTATTCTACTGAAGAATAGACTGTAGAACCGACTATATTTCTATAATTCTGCTATACTACGTTTAGCCAGAATCACCAATACATATATGAATGAAAATTGATTGACTCGAATATACGTCAAATAGCTAAATGATG